TTCCTAGAACAAATTAGAATTCTCTTTGAGGTGAAAATTTTAAATGCTTACATTTAAAGAGATGATTTAGGCATTTTTTGTTGAAACTCATATTTAGCCTAGACCACCTAAGTTAAAAATATAGCCTTTGCAACCAATTTTGAAGCCTATAAACCATAAGATTTTCTTGTTCACCCTAAATAAACTGAGCCTTTAAACCAATTCCAATTTCCTACCATAAATACAAAAGATTGTATGATTGAAAGATTCTACTTTTAATTAGAATGTAGCAACAAAAAGGGAGAATTTTTCAAATGATACTAGCGAATTTACTAAATAAGAAAAATCAAAAAGAGACACATAAAAAGCAATCAAAAGGATTCAAGTTGAATTCGAAAAGCAAGGAAGAAAAGTACCAAAATATTATGAAAAACAAAATAAATAAGAAAAATCAAAAAGAGACACATAAAAAGCAATCAAAAGGATTCAAGTTGAATTCGAAAAGCAAGGAAGAAAAGTACCAAAATATTATGAAAATACCTTGCCAAAATGTCTCTAGCTAGTAAAGAAGTTCAAAACAGACACTCCTTGGAACCAATAAAATTTTTTGATTAAAATAGAATTCTGGATATTATACATTCTTTTGTACTCCTTGTCTACCTTTTATCCTTTTTGTTTGATTAAGCAAAAATTTACACCTCTGAAGCCCCATTACAACCCAAAATAAAGACCTTTTGATCTTTTAATCGTATGCATTTAAATTGTGGAGAAGGGATGACTAATTTTGCATATGGGAATTGATATGGGAAATGCCACATTTGCACTAATCAATTGTTCTTATTCTTTTAAGGTTTATAAAATTCTTTGGAATGAATTCATTTCCTTTTAATCGTAATTGAAATGAGTAATTAGTGTTTTGACAAGTCTCTTTTTAAACTTATATTTTATATTCAAAATGGCAACATGCTTTTAAAATTTAAAAAATTGAAATCAAGCTTAAAATATGAGTAGCAATGGAAAAATTGATTGATTCAACTTATTTACTAATCATGAAATATCTGAAGGTTTACGATTAAGAAATCATCTCCAAACCATGGGTGTAAGTTAGTTTTATTCAAATTAACTTTTCTCTTAAAATTTAGTTTTTGTTTGCTTTGAGGATACAGCAATGGTTTAAAGTTTTTGGGGAAATTTTGAATAGGTGTTAATTTTATTAGTGTTTTTTAATAAGTCTTTAATTAAGTTTTTTTAGGTAAATTTTATCATTTGGATTTGCTTTTTATATGTCATTTTTAGTATAATTTTGGTTTCAAAAGCTTCCTTGAATCATTTTTAGTATAATTTTGTTCAAAGCTTCCTTGAATCATAACCCGCTTGATCTGAGAGAAATTTGCAGGATTTTGGCACAGAAAAGGGCATTACAAGGTGAAATACTCAGCCTCCAGCACGCTCAGCCCGTGCTAAGTAGCACAACCGTGCTAAAAACTAAGGAAATTAAAGGAGAGTCAGAGGTGAGCACGCCCAGAGGCACGCTATAAGGCATGGCCGTGCCCACAAGAAAATCAAGGCATGCCAGCCTAGCACGCCCATTGTGAACTCTAGCTGGGGAGGACAGGGACAAGCACGCGCAGCCTGTGCTATATAAGGCACACCCGTGCCACAAAGATTCATCAGGGTGTGCTTGCCTAGCACACCCCGTGCTCCACAGCCAAACTTCCAGACTTAAGCACGCCCCAGCCGTGCATAATGGCACGCCCGTGCTTCGAAGGCAGAACTAGCATGAACTAAAGACGCAAATCAATAAATCATCACTTTTCCTCACATGGGCCCGGCCTCGGAGAGTTTCTAAACGTATTAAAACCAAGAACCTAGATCTATTGTTGGGTAGAGAAAAGGAGTTTCCCAATTAAGAAAGAAATCCCAAGGCTAAACTATGTCATGAATCTCCTTAGAAAAGATTTTGCACTATAAGGATTCCTATTTCCTAAACGGAGGTGAGAGTGTTTGGCCTTTTAGGAGCTTCCAATATAATGAGGGGAACTTTTTCCCATTCATTAGCCATCTCGTTTTTTGGGCTATTCTTTCTGCATAATTTCTCTCTCTCTTCAAGAGATTTTGCAAGCATCCAAGATTGTGCCAAAAGACTCAACGGAAGCCATCCACATAGCTTTTTGATCTAGTTTGTTTTATTTCCTAAACTCCTTCCATCTTGTTTTTTCTTTTGCATTTTGTTATCTCTAAGTATGAATGATTGTATTCAAGTGGTGGATTGAGGGGTTTTATTTACCATTATATGCTTCCAGCTAAAACTCGTCATACTAAGGGGATTTGAATGCGTAACTTAATCGATTGCCAATTTAAATAATATTAAGATTTGTTTTTTCATTTGTTTCTTAGTTATATTTAGTTATTGTGCATATAGTATCAGGCAAGAATTTTTTCCCTGATTGAATTATTTCGACGGTAATGACTATGCGGGACGGATAGGGTTTTTAATATGAAAAAAATAATAATTACTTGAGAATAATAACTCTTAATTCGATTCCAATTTATAATATTAGATTTGTTTTTCATTGTTCTTGTTATAATTTATTATTGTGCTTAAAGCTTTCAGGCAGAATTTTTTCCCTAGATTGAATTATTTCACTAATGACTATCGGGAGAAGGGTTTTTAATATGAAAAAAATAATAAATTACTTGAGAATAATAACTTGACGCGGAAGCTATATGGTTTAACTCAAGGGGGGTTTTCATAAGTTAATGATCTTAGGTTATGAACTCACAAAACAATCACAAAACTCAAAGATCTAATTTCTGTTTAATTTCACTAGTGGAAAATAGGTAATTAGACTAGATTAGAATAGCTAGCAATTCATCGGAAGAGCTTGTTAGTAACTATAGGGTTGTTTCTCCTACTTGAACAATTAAAATTGATTAATGAACTAATAAATAAGTTGGATAGAATTAAGTGAAATCAAATTCCCTAGTAGTTTAAATCCCTGATTTCTTTTCACCTAAATTTTGTGCTTGATCTCTTTTATTTTTTACTTTCAAATTTATTTTCCTTACAGAAATTCTTTCTTATTATCGTTTAAATAATAATATCTTAACATAATTTTAATACTTGATATACAATCCCTGTGGATACGATACTCTCTTACTCTATATTATTTGTTGCGATTTCGTACACTTGCGAAAATCACTGTCATTGCTCATTGTTACTCCTAATAGATTCATTCAAGTGAGAAAGTTTTTGTTGTGAAGTTATTTTGTGTTACTTCCCATCAATTAATTCCTAATCATTTACATGTGAATTTTTCACGGGAAAAGCGGATCAGTTGTATCTACAAAAGCTAAGAGCAGAAATAAGTAATAAAGAAGATGACGAAGAAGTTAAGTTGCAGTTGGTGGTTTGGACCTGGACATCCTCATAACCCGCATTCAACCACTTGCAGTTGGTTTATTTGGATTTGGATTTTTAGATTTTTTTTAATTATTCTCTGTTTTTTTTTTTTTTAAAGAAAAAATAACTTGCAATTGTTTTGTGTTGTGAACAATGACTTTTTTTTTTTGACATTGAATATTGATAATTTATTATTAAGAGAGAAAGCGAGCAATACAAGTAGGAACAATATCCCAAGTTCAAAAACAAGCCCCACGAGGAACTGATTTAGTCAGTACTTGACCTATATCATTAGCTTGTCTTCTAATCCAATCCAATGTGACATTAGGCAATTGGACTAGTAGTAGTTTATATTCAGAAATAATAACCCCAAACTCGGACCAGTCTTGGCCAAAATTTCTCATAGCATAGTAAACTTGCAGACAATCGGTCTCAATTTGAATTTTCGAGCTAGAGTAGTCCAACAGCAACCAAGACAATACCGTTCTTAGCGTCTGACCTTCTGCTACTGCTGGAGAAGAACAATGACTTCTTTAGTTTTGTGTCTTTTTTATTGTTTTATTGTAGTTGTTGTCTCTCTTAATATTTATGAGTGGTTTGGAAATCGTTACGTGATCACGCCACAACGGCTATGACGGGTTGGTGAAAGTGAAGCGCGACGGCGAAGGAAGAGGATGGTGAAGAGAGAAAAGGAACAATAGAAATTTCTTAGTTCAAATAGGATTTTTTTTTTTTTTTTGTCTTTTTGGTATAAATTAACCGTAAAATTCTAAAATATAGATAGGACTAAAAGATTGGACTGAGGATAAAATTTGGAGACGTAATAATACCCTTTAAAAAGCAAGATCTGACTAGTCTATTAGTAACTTTTTCTTTTATTGTTTCTATTAATTTTTTTGGAAATTGAATGAAATATTTTTCTATTCGCAATTTCATCCTTTATTACAATTGAGGATGACATCGCTATAAAAAAGTGAAATTGGGATAAAATTCAGATGAATATAAAAAAAAGAGTGAAATTGTAAAATTCCGAAAATGGATATTATGATACATATGCCTCTAGACTGTAATTGTGTAAATTTATTTAAATCGCATATGGGTTGATAATTTATCCATTATGTATAGTATCTAATTAAAAAAAAAAAAAAAAAAAAAAAAAATAGTATAAGTATCTAATTGAAAAAAAAAAAAAAAAAAAAAAAAAAGCAGTTTTCCCAAAAAGAAGATAACAGTTCAATTACCAATAAGCAATTTATGTGATGCCAACGTTTACATGCTTTTTTCCGCAAAACAAGGCGAAAATGGATAAATTTGCCAAAAATTGTTATCCACTCCCGTTACTGCCTGGCCTATTTGGCTGCCTTTGACAATCCACCACAATTAAGCAATCCGTTTTTATCTTGGTAATGCTTCAAAGTGCAACCCATTTTTTTATTTTCAAAATGTTTCTCTGCATATTTTTTTTTCAAAAGGATTCCCAATCACTTCTAAAAAAAAAAAAAAAAAAAAAAAAAAAAGCAGTTTTCCAAAAGCAAAGTAACAGTTCAATTACAATAATGCAATTATGTGATGCCACGTTTACATGTTTTCGCAAAAACAAGGCGAAATGATAAATTGCCAAAATTGTTATCCTCCGTTACTGCCTGCTCATTTGCTGCCTTTGACAATCCAAAATTAGAATCCGTTTATCTGTAATGCTTCAGAAGCAACCCATTTTTTATTTTCAAATTTTCTCTGCATATTTTTCAAAAGGATCTCCCAATCAACTTTCTAATCCATTAGCAAAATTTCATTTCAGTTAATCATTAAAATTTTAAATCATGGGGCTTGAAGAGGCCAAAAAAGCATCTTCCTCTTCAAACGCTCTCAAAGGGCTTCCTCCTCTGCCAAGAGAAGACACGCCTCTGTTAGCCAAGTCCAAGCCTCTGTCCTCTCAATCCAAAACCTTTGCTAATGTCTTCATTGCTATTGTTGGTGCTGGCGTTCTCGGTTTCCCTTATTTTTTCAAACGAGCCGGATGGCTTATGAGCCTTTTCATGCTTTTTTCTGTTGCCGCATTGACTCAGCATTGTATGATGTTATTAGTCTACACTCGCCGCAAGCTTGAATCTTTTTCTGGTGATTTTGCTAGAATTAATTCTTTTGGCGATCTGGGTTTCGCCGTTTGTGGCTCTATTGGGAGACTTGTTGTGGATGTAATGATTCTCTTGTCTCAGGCTGGTTTTTGTGTTGGGTATTTAATATTTATTGCAAATTCCTTGGCCAATTTATTTAATTCGGATTCTGCAACTAGTAAAACTTCCCAATTCATGGGTTTGTCTACCAAGAGTTTAGTTGTATGGAGTTGTTTTCCATTTCAAGTAGGGTTAAATTCGATTGCAACTTTGACCCATTTGGCTCCTTTGAGTATTTTTGCTGATATCGTTGATCTTGGTGCGATGGGTATTGTGATTGTAGAAGATGTTTTAACGATGATAAAGAATAGGCCTCTGGTTAATGCTTTTGGGGGTTTGTCTATATTTTTTTATGGTATGGGTGTGTCTGTTTATGCATTTGAAGGGGTTGGTATGGTTTTGCCTTTGGAGTCAGAAACAAAAGATAAAGATAAGTTTGGCAGAACTTTGGGACTGAGTATGACTTTTATTTCATTACTTTATGGATCTTTTGGTTTACTTGGTTACTTTGCTTTTGGTGATGAAACTAAAGATATTATTACAGCTAACTTGGGTGCTGGATTACTTAGTACCTTGGTTCAATTGGGTCTTTGTATTAATCTCTTCTTCACATTTCCATTAATGATGAACCCAGTTTATGAAATAGTGGAGAGAAGGCTTTGTGGTGGGCATTATAGTTTATGGCTTAGATTTATATTGGTTTTGGCAGTCAGTTTGGTGGCTTTATTGGTACCAAATTTTGCTGATTTCATGTCTTTGGTAGGGAGTAGTGTATGTTGTGGACTTGGATTTATTTTGCCATCATTATTTCACTTACTTGTGTTCAAAGAAGAAATGGATTGGAAAGGATGGTCTATTGATTTGGGGATTGTGACAGTAGGTACTGTTCTTGCAGTCTCAGGAACTTGGTATTCTCTCATGGAGATTTTCTCTGTCAAGGTATAATATATAATAGTTAGTATGCTTTGTTTTACTGTTTCCACTGAAAATTTAGCTGTCAGCGTCTATCATTGTATTGTACTGTGAAAAAGATTGTGATACTAGCTTTGGATATGAAACTATCTTGTCAATTGTAAGATGTGAAGATGTATGGCATTTGATTGAGAATAATACGAGCTAGTAACTTTTCATGCTAACATCTTGTTATTGTTTGGTGTCACCCTTAACTTTTTGTAACCTCAAATAATTTATAGTTATTTATGATGGTTTTAGCCTAATTGGCACTGATGGTTTGGGCAAGAAACCGTTTTAGCTGTTTGGGTAAAAGCACTATTCTAGAGTATTGTTTAGTTGTTTTGAAGTTCTTACAATTAATAAGATGTGAAATTCACTTTAGATTCGAACTTTGATGTTCTTTAACTAATTTTTTGAACATAGTGCTTTAAACAACAAATAACAGAATGCCAACCAAGAAGAAAGATGCTATAGTCTCATTTTTTTCTCTTGTATAGTTGTATGTATTTATGCGCATGAAAACCAGCATTTAGGTGTAGATAAAGAACTTCGTAGGTTCGCTAGTTGAAATAGCAGGCACGGAATACAGATTTCTTATGAGTACCGCAGTATTTTGTTTAAGACTTGCCAAAGTTAGGTAAAACAGACTGAATTATTGGTTTTAATTTTTGATTTGATTTGGTTTTCTTTTTACATTAAGTTCAAATAACAAGTTAAATTTGCTTAAAATAAGAGCCCAAACAAACTCATTTGATTTGATTCAATACACTAATCTATTCCGTTTGATATGTATTTATGGATTTGATTTTATATAAAAAATTTATTTTGTTTCTCTCGCAAAATTCAGAAGACCACAAGGATAATTAACAAAAGTGCATGGTTAAATCTATTCATTAGCTTTGTAAAATTATAGATATATGCACATCAAGTCATAACCTAATGGTATATGCATATATGATCTGAAAATAGATCTAAATTAGAATCCTCTTGCCCAATACTAAAAAAAATAAAATATTATAGATATGCATGTGCATATACATACTAGTACTATATATAATTAAATATATAAATTCACTTTTGAACTTTGAAACTTTAACCTTACGACACTCTGAATTATGTTAATGATCTGTCGTGTACTTGAACTTATAAATTCTGATAATATTATACACATTTCGGACACAAATATCAATAACTTTTAGGGTTTTTAGATTTTATTTTCAAAATATCGACTTGATATATAATTAGCATAATTTTTGAAATAATAATTTTCATAATTTTCAACTTTTAAATTAGTGTTTAATTGATTTAATTTTGCAAATTGAAGTGTTCAATAAAATAATTTTGAAAATTGAAATATTTAATAGGTGTAATTTTATAATTTGAAGCGTTTGATGAATTAAAGTAAAAGTTTAATGGATTAAAGTAAAAGTTAAAAGTTTCACAAGTAATAAAATTCAGGGGTAACTTATGTATTCTGCCATATATATTCGAATAATTAATTATTTTACAATTATATAACTTGTATTATCATACTTAACACTAGTTAATGCCCTTGGACTTCACATGGCTATGGTGAATCAGATATTTTTTTGATTTTTTTAATGTAACTAATAACACCATTATAAACACAATATCTTCTTAAAATTCAAATATAGGAAGAATTTTCCATGCGCTCCTCCCCCAATATTGTTTTCCACATCATTTCATGCCTGTTTAAGTGTTCTCGTAGAAGCCCGACTATTTCACATCATTTTTTGTTTTTTGGCTGTTGACATCCTTTTGTCTGCGGAAGCTTCAATTTCTCAAATGGATGTTATTCTGGATTGTTTGAATCGGTTTGGTACCGCGTCTAGCCAAAAGGTTAATTTCAACAAGTCCAGTATTTTCTTCTCTCCTAATGTGGATCCGCTGGTGCGTAATTCTATATGTTCTAAGGCAAGAATGCTTGTTTTGGAGGATCTGGGATCTTATTTAGGGGTTCCGATTTTTAGAGGAAGGGTTGGTAAATCTTCTTTCGATAATCTGCTTTCGAAGATTAGTTCCCGTTTCGCAGGTTGGAAGGCGCATGTTCTATCTTTAGCGGGTCGTATAACTCTTGCCAAGTCCGTTCTTTCCACGCTTCCTAGTCATCTCATGCAATCTCTTTACTTGCCACGTTGGGTGTGAGCAGGGACGGCCTCAACAGTGGGCCAAGGGGGCAAATGGGCCCCCTGATATTAAAAAAAAAAAATTAAATATTTAATTTTTTTCCACGCTTTTCCCTAGTCGCATCCTCATGCAATCTTTTTAAACTTGCCACGTTGGGTGTGAGCAGGGACGGCCCTCAACAGTGGGCACAAGGGGGGGCAAAATGGGCCCCCTGATATTGAAAAGAAAAAAAATTAAAATTTTAATTTCTTTTTTTTGGTAAAATGCCATAAATGAGTCCTGAGAATTCAAAAAAAAATTAAATATTTAATTTTTTTTTTGGTAAAATGCATAAATTAGTCCCTGAATTCATAGGGTTTTACTCATTGTGCCCTCAAATTTTTATTTATCAAGTCTAAACTCTATAACTTTAATTTTGGTAAAAAGTTGGTCTTTTCTAATGGAAATTAATGGCATTGATTGAAAAATAAACTAATTATGAACTTACACAAATTCTATTTTTTTAATAAGCGAAAATTTTAATTTTTACATATAGAATAATAAAAAAGAAAGAAAAGAAATAGACAAGAAAAATGTTGTAATTTATTTAATAAATTTTAGACTCCAACTTTTTCAATTTTATCTTTCAAAATTTTCTCAACAATAAAACGCGTTGTGAAGTCTATATGAAACGTTTTTGTAATTAAGATTTTTAATTTTTATCGTATTAGCTGCACAAAATTTTAAATGAATAGAATATTATAAAATTTCAATATATTTTTATATTATTTTTTCACTAACAATGTTCTTCAATTTATAATTCGGCGACCCTTAACCAATTTTCTAGGTAAGTCTTTGGTGGGTGTGTAAGGCATTTGACCAAAAAATTAGAAATTTTTTACGGGGTGACTTGGTGGACAAGAAGATAGTTCATCTTGCCATGGTGGACAAGAAGATAGTTCATCTTGCCAATTGGGATTTGGTTACTCTGTCGATGAGATTTGGTGGGCTGGGTATTTGCAAGTGTCTTGCTATTCTAAAAATAAGAATAAGGAAATCAATCAGAATCAGAAAAATAAGGAAATTGGATCAAACAAATAAGGAAAGGATCGGATCAAGCAAATAAGGAAAGGATCAAACACAATTATTGTAAATATTCTATAATAATTATATGTTGTGTATATAAACTCTGTAATTCACAGATTGAAAAGTATGAAAAAAGAATTCTTTTTAACCCTAGTATGAAAAAAGATTCTTTTTACCCCTAATAACAGCTTAATCATAGTCGTCAGAGAATATTCTATAATAATTATATGTTGTGTATATAAACTCTGTAATTCACAGATTGAAAAGTATGAAAAAAGAATTCTTTTTAACCCTAAAAGCTATCATAGTATCAGAGCCAGTCTTTCGGTCATTAGACCCAATTTCTGTTTAAGCTCATCACCTACCATTTAAACTTACCTGAAATGTCAGGCGAAGTTAGCTCATCTACAACAAAATCAATGGAGCAATCTATTCCAGCTAGCCAATTATTGGAACTGTTTCAGCAAATCAATAGCACCAAACCTACCACAGAAAATACAACAAGTCAAATAGTGAGTATCTCAGAAAAACTAAAGAACCAAAATTATACCAAATGGTCCAGATTGATGTATTTGGCAATCAGTGGAAGAGGTAGGCTCAGACATATCACAGCCCCTCCACAATAACCACCAATCCAGAATATCCCAAATGGGCACAGTCAGATTCTAATGTACTCACATGGATCATAAAGAATATAGAATCTGACTTGGTGAATCAGTATCTTGATTACCTAACTACAAGGGATCTATGGAAGGTAATAAAGGCAATGTACAGTAGTGGTCAGGATGGTCTACAAATCTTCGATCTGACTGTGAAAGCCAATAGCCTGAAGCAAGGTTCAGATCCAATCGAGAATTTTTACAGCAAGCTCCTGGCTATTTGGAAGGAAATTGATAGAAGAATGCCAAATCCTATGAAATGCTCTGAGGATATCACTATCTACAATGGGCTAATGCAAAGGAACATATTGTATCAATTCCTTGTAGGGATAAATGATGGGTATGACAAGGACATGAGAGATCTCCTGAATCGAGATCCTCTACCAACGGTGGAAGAAGCATATGCGATGATCAGAAGAGAAATAGCCCGGAGAAAGATCATGAAAGGGGAGCCATCATTGGGGATAAACCCCTCAAGAATAGGAAGCAGCCTCGCCACCAGAAGCTGGTCAGACACGGTCAAGACAGGGGCTAAATCTTCACTCCGGCGGGAGGATGATAAGAGTGGTCTGAAATGCTCGCACTATGGAGGTTCAAGGCACAACCGAGAGGGGTGTTTCAAACTAATTTGGGGGCCTTGAGTGGTAGCCAGATAACAAGAAGAGGACCAAAGGAGTTATTGCCGCCGCGGTGGGCGATCTTGGGACCACCGGCACTAGGGGAGACAACCAGCCTCTTGGATTTAGTGGAATGGCAGGTGGAGCATCACAGAAAGGAGGAGGCAGAGAAGCGACTGAGACACAAAAAGGGAACCCTAGGGTTCTTAATGTGGAGACACATGGTAAATTTAAGAAAGAGACTCAGAATTTTGAAATTTTACAAACTAACCCTTAGACTTTGTTTCTTTGGACACTAACCACAAAACCCATAATAATGTTGCAATTGGATCTGGAAGTATGAAAAATTTACAGATTTACCCCGAGTTTCACCATAATAATGTTGCAATTGGATCTGGAAGTATGAAAAATTTACAGATTTACCCCGAGTTTCATGAGAACATTCATTCTGTACCCCCTGGCTACAAAAAATTACAAAGAGGTACCTAGCATGGGCCTAATTGCTAAAAATAAACCCTCAAAGGAGACAGAATGGTTATTTGACTGTGAAGCTACTGACACTATATCACTAGATGCTCCATAATAATGTTGCAATTGGATCTGGAAGTATGAAAAATTTACAGATTTACCCCGAGTTTCATGAGAACATTCATTCTGTACCCCCTGGCTACAAAAAATTACAAAGAGGTACCT